TCTGATATTTAGAAATTGTTATGGGGAGAATATAAATCTAGGACATTTGTTTACAACTTTACATAACTTGTTTGATTTTTTTTTTTACATTGGAGAAAAATTACACCTGATAGATTTTTTTAATTTGCCAAGTGTAACACAATCTTCCAGAAAATGCAATTTGGCTTTCATTTTCAATGTGTCAAAAGTGGAAAATGGTTATGTAGCCTGAATGCAATTATTCTGACATTCCTATTTAAAGTACCGTATTTTTCGGAGTACAAGACGCACTGGAGTACAAGACGCACCAAGATTTTGAAGAGGCAAATTAAAAAAAGTTTTTGCAGACCTCCCAAAAATGGCCCATATTTTTTGCAAAAACGGGCCTGGTTTTTGCAAAAACGGGTCCGTTTTTTGTCAAAAAAGGGCATGCATAGCCTTTAGGAGGCTTATAGAGTGCTCCTGGGGGCCTTGGGAGACAAGTAAAAAACAGGCTATTTTTTGCTCATTTTTGCCCTCCCCAGCCCCCAGGAGCACTCTGGAAGACTCCTAAAGGCTATGCATGGCCATTTTTGCAAAGGGGATGAGGTTTCAGGAGGCCAAAAATGCTGTATTCAGTGTATAAGACGCACCCAGACTTTCAGCCTCTTTTTTGAGGGAAAAAGGTGCGTCTTATACTCCAAAAATATGGTAAATTTAAATTTAAGTTAAAAGAACACAAATATATTTTATTTTTGTCCTAGCCATTTTTGGATACTCCTAAGACACCATACTCTGGCTGCAGCCTTCATGACAACCACAAGATGACAGTACAGAATTAGAGTTTTCAGTATTTGCTATCTAGTAGGTATCCAGATGTTTGCAAGCCAGATAGAGTAGTCTTAGGATGAACCCTGTCACATACTCCAAAAGATTAAATGAGTTTCTCTTTGTCTTATAATATCAGAAAATATGTTATTTCTTTTGCCGAAGAAACTTTTGAGTAAGGGCTAAATCATACTAAGAGCCTAGCAATAGTAATAAGAGTCATTTGTTTATGTGGGCAGCTATAGAAATTAAATAAAAGCATACTATAAATAAAATGTTTATTATAATCCTAAACTTTGATAGATGGTAAAATCAAAATGGTCACCATTACAGTGCCAAAGTATCATGCATTGGGCTGCTGTGGCCACCATTAAAATAATATTTTTACCCATGATTATGTGTATCTCCTGCTTTGATATGTTGCTGCTGACACATAAAGAGCAAAAATAATTATTAAGAATGATATTATAAATGAAGTAATACTGTATAATAGATTTTATTTTTAAATAATTGTGTAAATCTATAGTTTGTGTCAGGTCCCAAGTACCAAAAATGACATATGGAGTTGCTTAAGAGTGGTTTCCTTTATCTATAGACAGAATCTTGCCGGATTAAAGTAAGTATTTGCATAACTACAAATATAATCTGGGAATAGCTAAAGTGACCTGTTTTAATTCACTTTCTCAGGATTAAATTTTCCAAGCTCCACTGCCTCTTTACCTACTGGAAAGCAGCCCCTCCCTCTTGAGAATCCAGACTACAGTCCACCACAGTTTGACTATATATGTAGTTACCAGAAATAAACCAGTAGCTAAGGATATTGTTATACTTACTTTTTTTAGCTTCCCTGTGCCATGATGGCATCCATTACTGATCCCATTGGAGGTTTCTTCCTTGTCTCTATTTCTAACTGAAGATGAGTTTCAAACTTACAATTTCTCCATTTCTAGCCTGATGCCTTAATTATTGCACTACATTGGCTCTCTGTTTATTATATGTATAATTATTAAAATTATAAATTATTAAATTATATAATGACCATTAATTCACTGTTGTTCTAGGGAAAAATTCTTGTTGGAACACGGAATGCTGAAATCATAGAAGTTGGAGAGAAAAATGCTGCCTGTAACATTTTGATTAATGGGCACATGGATGGACCTATCTGGGGATTGGCAACCCACCCGTCTCGTGATCTTTTTCTTTCTGCCGCAGAAGATGGAACAGTCAGACTTTGGGATATTGCTGACAAAGTAGGTGTAAAAATGGCATTTAAGAAGTTACAGTAAATTATTCATTAACTTCTGTGTCACTCCTCTCGCCTAGGTGGCTTGGTATTTAAATAAATGATATATTTTAAACTTTACTTTGTAAAGCATTACCAGGAATTAAGCTAATATTTATAGAAAAAGAAAGCATTGTGTCATTTAACATGCTATTCTAGTTTTAATTTCATTTTTTGAAACTATTGCAGAAAATGGTGAACAAAGTCAATTTGGGCCATGCAGCACGCACCGTATCATACAGTCCGGAAGGTGACATGGTAGCAATTGGCATGAAAAATGGAGAATTTATTATCCTATTGGTGAACTCTCTGAAGATATGGGGAAAGAAAAGAGACAGACGATCTGCCATCCAGGACATCAGGTGAGAAATCGTATACATTATCTCTCATTTGCCACAGGAACAAATGTAACATCTGCACTTGGGTTTTATTACTGGATATGATGCTTATCCAGATATGGTGCTATTGCATTTCATTCATCTATTAATGGCTTAGCAGATGGGAAATTCTAGTACCACCACATTTCCAAGGAGGAGAAACTGAACTGAATCCTCTTTGCTTCGTAATCAACACCAGTAATAAAAGTTCATGTGCAAACAGAAGAAAATAAAAGATCCAGAAGCATGAAAATGCCTTGAATCAGAGGAAGTTGAATAATTTGCAGTATACAGCAGAAAAGATTCAAACAGCAGTTTAAAATCTTGAGCTTCTTAGATGAGTTATTTGGTAAATTACAATGAATTTAATACTTTTTTTTCCTATATAGGTTCAGCCCAGATTCCCATTATTTAGCAGTGGGTTCAAGTGAAAACGCAGTTGACTTTTATGACCTGACCCTGGGGCCTCCTCTTAACCGAGCCAGCTACTGCAAAGACATCCCAAGCTTTGTTATTCAAATGGACTTTTCTGCAGATAGCTGTTATCTTCAGGTAAGGAAATAATAATGTGGAATTTTTTTGCCATTCAGTTTTTTTCATTTATACCATGGACATTTTTTTTAAAGGTTATAGCTTGGAATTTTTGACTCCAGAATGAGTTTATAAGAGTTTGGTCTTGAGACAGGCAAGAAGTAGAAAGTAGAAGCCGGACTTTAATACATTTGTAAAAGTTAAAGTTGGGAGTCTCTCGAGATTTCAAAGTCATACAAAACTCATAAATGCTATTCCCTAAAAATGTATTATTTAAAATTCTTTGGGGTTTTCCCATCAACTTTCTTATGTGAGTTAGGAGGAAGGGTAGTGATAGCAGTAATAATAATACTTCATGACAAAGCTATTGTATTTTTTTTTTAGTTCTGGATCTTCAGTTTTTGTATCATGTTGGTAATGCTACTTAAGAATGCAAAGTCTTTCTTATAGTGTAAACGGATTTATTAGAATATATTTCCCTCTATATGTACTTAAAGGTGTCTACTGGGTCTTACAAAAGGCAAGTTTATGAAGTGCCTTCAGGAAAACAACTTCTGGATCAAACTGTGATTGATAGAATAACATGGGCCACCTGGACCAGGTAGATCAATATTTCACTGTTTAAAATATAATACATCATTACCCACTGAAAAGAACATAAACCTAAATACTTTCTGCATATAGGTAGGCGGCCTATATTTACTGTTCAAATAGTGTGATGTTCAATTTAGTACAAAATATAAAGTGATACCAGGTTGCATTTAATGGGAGCATTTAAATTCAGTTAATGCAAGGTTAGTACACATGGAAGTAAAGCTAGTGTATGCACATTTGTCATTGGGAGTTTAGACACTAATCATTTTTTTATTAAAGTTTTTTATTTTTTCATTTTCATAACACATAACTACATATACTGTTACATAACCAACATTATTTTATATTATTAAATATTAACAATTTGTCTTACCATCAACTCCCAAAAAATGATTATTGGTTCCTCTGCTCTCCATACCCATATTACCCTGTCCATCACTTTCTTCTCCCTCTCTCCTCCTCCTCCTCCCTACCTCCTTTCTATCCTCTGTCATTCTTCTCTTCTCTACTTCCCCTTCGTCTCTTCTTCTCTCTCCCCTTTCCACTCCTTCTTTCTCTCCTCCTCAGCCCCCCATGCCCTCTCTCCTTACACTCTCTTCTTCCCTTACCTCTTTCCTCTCTTCCACACTCTCCCTCTTATCCTCTTAGCAAATTCCATTTTATGTTGATGGTATTTATAATTTCATATCAATAAACCTCTTTAATTTTAATATCTTTTTAAGCAATGAACAAAAAAGTATACATATATAGCAATTATATATTTAAACCGCTCCCCCCACACACTTATTTTAGTCCGGAATGTGGACCTGATTACAATTCCCAGCTATTTCATCATACTATTGTATAGTTATATATCATTACCCACCCCAAATTTTAATCTGTCTTTATAATCTCATTATAAGTATATTTCATGTTCCCCCTCCATTTTTCCATATCTTAACTTAGCTTATATTTGATTGTCTTTAAATAATAATCCCTGTTGCTCAGTGTTCATTACAATTCCATTGATCTTCTACATAAAATAACAAGCAATACACACTTCCCTTCGTTCATCTTAAGAATTCTATATGCATTCATATTTCTTGTATTTTAACCTATATTTAATTGTATTTCCATTATCATATTTAATCAATTAATAACTGTTTAATTTATCATGTAAAATAATATTTCATATATTTTAACTTTTATTTAATTATCTTTCCATTATCCTCTTCAATCAGTTAGCAACAGTTTAATTATCATCTTAAGATGTAAACCACATGCCTAAATTTATATTCTCCCCATAACAATTTCTAAATATCAGATTTTTCCCTAACAAGTCTTTTGTCCCAATTCTGTATTCCTGTCGTCTCCCTTTTCTTTGTTGGGATATGTCCACCCTTTTCAATTTTCCCCAAGCCACTGTCAAGCCTAGTGGAATCTTTTATCTTCTTTTTATTTTGCTTTGTTAGGACATATCCACCCCACTTCAGTTTTCCCTGTGCCACTGTCAGAGTTAGTGAAATCTTTTTTCTGCTTTTTATTTCCCTTTATTGGGACACCTCTCCCCTTTTCAATTTTCCCTATGTCGCTGCCAAGCCCAGTGAAATCTTTTATTTTTTGCTTATTATTTTCCACCATTTCTACCATTTCACTACCCTCCCCCTCTTCCTCTTTCATTTCCTACTTCTCCTCAGATTCTGGCTTCAAAATTCTGTTTAAACTTAATTTTAATAATTTATGCATATTTTTTATAATTTCATGTGACTCTTCAAATTCTGACCTTTCCATAATGTCCAGTCCCAAAGTTACAGTTAGTTATACTGTTGATTATAATTTCACAATTCCAGTCCAATTTATATTCTAGTTCAGTTAAAACAGAGAGACTCTGGTCCAGCTATATATTTCGATTCAGCTAACATAGAGAGGAAGAGAAGGGGGAGACATCTTAATTACTTCACTTTCTTTGTTCTTTGCTCTTTCCTCCAGCAAATGATTTGTCGATAGTTTCCAGCAATACAGCTTGATATTTTTAAATCCAGTTTTAAATCCAGGCTAATAGTTTTTCTTGATTTTTTTTTCCTTGTTACATTCTACCTCTCATTGATTAGAGTTACTTAAAATATGTTTTAATTAGAACAAACTCGGATAGGCTCAGACAAAGCAAAGCTCCTTGGTATGCTTTTAACTTTCATTTCTCCTTCCCCTGCTTTTCCCAAATTCTGATTTATGTCTATTGGTTAATTAAATCTTCTTTCCAAGCTTCTTTCCAAAGTTTCTTTCCAAACTTTACATTCCATTCATCGCTCAGACAAGATTAAATTATAAGGGAGAAAATAGTTGTTTAAAATATATTAATTAGGACAAAACTCAAACAAAGCAAGCCTCCTTGGTATGTTTTTAATTTTTGTCTTCTATTCCTTTATAGAGTTCTCCATTGTCAATTAATTTCTTTTAAAGGCACAACCTTTTCAAATCCAAATTCAAAGTTTGTATTTCAGTAGGTTGTCAATTCTCTGTATTCCACATTTCTCTCATTAAACAAGCCGTTCTTTTTGGGCTTGATTATTTTTAACCGCCATTTTCCGCCCTTCTTTTCTTTCTGCCAAAATCACAATGTATCCGTCAATATTATTTATACTCACAAGGTTCTTTGCCTTTTGCAAATTTTGATTTATGTTAGTTGGTTAATTAAATCTTCTTATCAGGTTTCACATTCCTTCGTACACCGCTCCTGCTTAGATGCTTTGGCCAGCAGCCCTCAGCTTAATGTTAGCCATGTTACCATGCTACCTCCCCCAATGCTGATTCAAAGAACTAATCCCTGACCTACAAGGAAGCTGTTACCCTCCTCTAGGTCTGATGAGACGCAGCTCCCTCTTTGTTCCCCCCACAGGGGAGTTCTGACCCAAAGGGTCCCCAGCACTGGTTTGTCAGACAGAATTTATGTGAGGTTCTTTGGAGCCCACATTTTTTCTGTTTGTCTCGCTGAGGTACTCTTGCCCACCAGACACTAATCTTTTTGTGTGTGCAAAATGGGGAAAAGGAAGGTTCCCTTCAAGGAAAGCTGAAAAAAGTAGGGGCTCATTTTGAAGTAACAGGAGAGAGCAAGTACTTTTTGCATATGGGTTTGTCCTCTTTTACTATCATAAAGCATTTCATTAAGAAACATAAAATATATTTTAAAATTTTAATTGCCTACTTGCCAAGTTGGAAACAATTATTTTATTTTCCATAGAAATATCCCTTTAAATGCTGTGAATTCCATTGCTGCAATGTGACTATTTTGGAATTCATTAAATGCACTAATCGAGACCTGCAGTTGTACCTGTACATTACAACAGGAGTATAAATGTTGCAGAACCACAGCATCCTGCACCATTAGTCATTCTGATTGGGGCAGTTTAGAAAGATTTTGGAATTCTGTAGTTCAGCTTTATGGCTTACTGAATTTCCTCAACTAAAGGAAGGACAGTAAAAACATACCTCTTAGCAAAAGGTTGGCATCTGGAAGCTGCAACAAATTGAGCATACCACAGTGAGTGCAGTTCTGGGTGATTAGTGGTTCATCTGAGTTACACCACTATTGTAGCTCAGCACGTTATAATAGCTTCCAGTTGCTTTCTGGGTGCAATTGAAGTTGCTAGTTATCATCTTTAAAACTCTACATGGCACATAGCCAAGTTATTTTCTGGATTGCTTCTTCCTGAGAGTACTAACTAGGTAAGATAGGGAGGGTGATCTTCCAGGTCCCTTCCCTCAAATATTATCATCTAGTGGACTTCAGAGAGGTGCCTTCTATTTAGATGACCCTACTCTTTGGCACAATCTCTCATCTGGAAGGAGGATGTTTATGGACAAAACACAGTAAATATATAAGTGAAGACTACTAGTATAAGGTCATGAAATAATGATAATAGTTAATGTTAGAATGATTCAGCTCTGACAATATAGTACACCTTGTTCTTTATTTCCTCCACTACATCAGAATATGTCCTCTTGGTTTCTTTCTCTTCCCTCTATTTCAGCATTCTAGGAGATGAAGTTGTAGGAATCTGGTCCCGGCATGCTGAGAAAGCGGATGTAAATTGTGCCTGTGTTTCTCATTCGGGAATTAGCCTTGTAACAGGCGATGATTTTGGCATGGTCAAGTTGTTCGACTTCCCTTGTCCAGAGAAGTTTGTAAGAGCTTTTTCTTTCATTCAATCACCAGGTCTTTTGATAGCTGAATTTGAAAGCCACCAGAGCATCTACACGATGTTCTCAGAAATATTAAGATGATGGGCCCAGTGATACTATTCGAACTCTGCCTGTTTTTAAATGTCTGTTGCAGAGAGAGAATTTATTGTTCTGTCGTGGCCACCAACATTTTTAAAATTCTACCATTATAGTTATACCATATTATACCATGTGGAGAACCCAAAAGGGTATAAAAACAAATGTAGTTGTTATTGTCCTTCATAAAGAATTGAGCAACAACCCAATTTTGCCTTCCCTTTCTGACAAAACAACCCAAGAAAACTTGTATAAAGCAGTGAAAGGGACCAAAGAAAAAAAGTATAAACACCTTCTGTGGAACTGTGTTGAATCTTTTTAGACAAAAATTATCCCCCAGAAAGAGATGCTATATTTAAGGTAGCAGGAATAGTTTTGTAGCAGGGGAGCAATAGAAAGAGAAGGAATTCAGTAATTAGCCCTGATTAATAATGATTTCAATAAAGTCAAAGTGGTTTTTAAAAAGTGTTAAACTAACAGGAAGTTTTCTGTTTATTGAAGGCAAAACACAAAAGATTTTTAGGTCACTCGGCTCATGTGACCAATATTCGCTTTACAAGTGGTGACAGATATGTTGTCAGTGCTGGTGGAGATGATAGCAGGTATGTTAAGCTTCATTTGAATATGAAAAAAGACAAAATTAATCAACACATCTTCTGCTCTTTCTGAAACTGCACTCAAGTAATTATTGAACTAGCAGAAACGTATGCAAAAATTGCTGGTCTGCAGCATTTTTGATATGTATTTTGAACAAACATTCTCCCTTTTAAAACTCATTAATACTTAACATGTCTTATTCTTTTTCCTTCTCTTTTGTTTAAAAACCTAGTATATTTGTCTGGAAATGTGTCCATATGCCTCATTAATAGACATGGAGACCTTCTCCAGTGGATGGGATTGGGACGTGAAGTTACTAGCGCACTACAGCTGCAAAGAGAGTTCTCCAGTGCCCCTCATGCTTCAAGAAATGGTGCTGATAAAGACAGGTATCTGTCTGTCTGACTAGAGTCTATCAGAAGCATGAACTACTACAAATATTTTGAAATTAATCATATTTCTAGCATATCTGATAGCCTATATCTCTTTCCCACTCACTGCCAGATATTGAAATACTTCGATAAAGAAGGAGTTTGGGCTCAGTCTACAGTGCCCCAATAAAATTGTGGCTTATACTCAAGTTATGTTATTTCTGATCTAAATCTGTACAGTATATTGATGCATTTACTTTCATCATGGATGTTTAAATACTGGGTACTAATAATCATCAGATGAATTCTTATTTTATTACTGAAAAGCAAACTATTGTGCTGGTCTTAAAACTTTTTTTTAAAGTAAAAATAAAATTTAAAAAAAAGAGTGGATCTTGAAAAGATTTGCTTAGTTTCCCCAACTTTCAACCAATTAACCCACCCATCCCTTAAGAATTTTTTGCTTCCAGGAACTACATAATTGTATTGATTTTGAAGCCTGAATTGTAATCCTATTGGGTGACTGCAGGTAGATCTGTAAGAGCCCATTCTTCAAGGCAGATATACTGTTTTTGTATCATTTGAGCATTAAATAAATTCTGTGAGCAGAATCATATTTGCTCACATTTTGAGTGCCTTGCCCGAAACCTAGAAGATCTAACTCCGTTTTTTGCCTTGTGAATAAATGTGTTATCAGTGAATGAGCAAGTGCTTGTTTGCTGAACAAAACAGGATTGAGTTCATTTTAGTGTTCAGGTATATGGAAGGTATTGTCAACAATTGCAACAAAAAAAATCAACAGCAATAGGAATTATTTCTTCCATATTCCTTGCATTTCTGGATGAAAACTTTGTAAATTCAAAGTGAAATCAGTAATTCAATTGTATTTTATAGTGTTTTTTAAACAGAAGAAATAAGAATTGTTAAATTTCTTGTTCTTCGATTCAGAACCAGTCCATACATGCATGTCCTCATTTTTATCCTCAGAACACATTCATGATTGTTTCTGAATGAAAGTGTTCCTACCAATAGAAAAGTTACAGAGTAGTTAATTAAGGGATTTTTAAAACTTCTGTTCTGGTATCAAAATATAGCTTCAGCATAATCATGTAGCTGAAAACATTGGCAAATGAGAAACAAAACATTTCTGTAACTATAAATCCTTGCTACCAGGGGACAATTAAGTCTTCTCTGTGAAAATGGAGTCCATTGTAAAGTAGATCTTTATTGTCTGACATTGAAAACAATAATATTCATTTTAAGAAGTAAAACTAGAAACATACCTGCCCTGTCGATAGGTCAGTTAAAAGTGTTTTGTATAAAAATAACAGGAAACAAAGTTTCTACACCTCCCCTTCACAATCCTTATTTTTTTTAAATAAGAAAGACCTGCATACCATTTCTCATTGCAAAAATCCCAAAGTCATTTACAAAGAAATGAAAACTATGGAATATTATCAAGCATTCCGAACCAAAATATACCTTCAGGCAATTGAAAAGACAAATATTAGGTGAGTTAGTGATCCAGAATTGCCATCACAAAAAGAATCAGATGCCTGTCAGGATATTTATACATTTAGCTAATTCAGTAGTTTCTGAACTTCTGATGTTCAGAAGTTCAGTACAGAACATCCCAGACAACATGGCATCTAAATGAACCTGATTACTTAAATAGCAATTCTCTTCCCCTGTTTTAATGCTTGAAAGCATATATAATAATATTGAGAAGAGTGGCGGCCATAGGTACCTACAATAATATATTCTCAATGTATACCTGCAAATTACAGATAATAAGATTTAGTTTGGGGTTCCATAATGTCAGTCAACCCAAGCATTGTACCTGCTTTCCATAGCATGCCAAGGGTTCTTCCACTTTTTATTTTTTCCCTAAATGGGAGCTACTTTGGTGTAGTGGTTAAGGCAACAGGCCAGAAACACTGAGCGTTCTAGTTCCACCTGAGGCACAAAGCCAGGTGACAGACCTCGGACTAGACACTTTTTCTCAGTCCTAGGAAGGAGGCCATGGCAAACCACTTCTGAAAAACCTTGTGAAGAAACTACAGGGACTAGTTCTGGCAGTTGTCCAGAGTCAAAACTGATTCAAATGCACACACACATAACTCACCCACTTAAGTGTATGTTATTATTTCTTATTTGAATTGGTTTTTTGATAATAGTAAATAGTAAACTCACTGCAGGCCTTTTCCTTTTATGAGTTTTTCAGCAATCCTCCTCCATCTGATGAAAAACAATATAGTCATTTTCTTCTAATTGTGTAAAGAACCAGTCAAAGTGAGAATCTCCGAGGTTTGAGAAGTTTTAAGGGCGGCTCTCATGATTACAATCTAACTTCTCCCAACTGAGAGAAAAAGGCATTTCCTTGAATCAAAATGAGTTTTATTTGGTAATAAACAGCACATTAAATTGCACCCAGAGGCCAACAGGTAACTAGTATTGCTCAAAGTAGTGTGGACATATGTGCATACTATGAAATATCTATCACCTCTCATACTACATTCTGGAAGCTGTAGGTTTCAAAGGCAGACCCTTATAGAGTGCATCGCAGTAGTTCAGTTGAGTTTGGGAACATGCTGGATAGAAATTCAGTTTGCTAGTGCATCTCTTCAAATATGCTTTCAGGAGGTGGGAATCCATGGATATTCCAAATACAAGAGGAAAAACAACATGATTCTAGCTATAGAAGCGGTACTTGTGGTTTAGGATTTTGTGACTGCTCTCACCTTTTGGGAGAAGAGTGTTGTATTATTTTATCCAACCATAGCCATCAAAATATCAGTCCTTTTACTAAACAGAGTTTGATGAAACTAAACACACAATTTTGGGTTACAATTTAAAGAGACTACAATTCCACCCTCTTGAGGAGTTAGCTATTAAGAAACCATAAACTAATTTACTCCCCTTTCCCTTCTACACTAACATTCCCCATGTTTGAAGGTTTTTATTTTGATTCCTGTATAATCATGTACAAGGTTAAACATAATCATGCGATTTTAATGACATAAGATACACCAAAGCCATACAAAGCCTAAATATGACAACTTCCAATCTTATCAGTGGGATCATTGCAAGAAATTCAATTTCTAGTGATTCTTTTGCTTGCGAATTTTGATCTGAAAATGTTCTGCAATGTGTAATGAATACCTGAACCTATGAATTTCAGCCTATATGTATAATCCTGAAAATGGCAGAGGATTCTTTGTATAAATGTTTTTTATTCTAGGCTTTGCTTCCTCCTATCTTGGTTTATCGAGTCACTGTGAAATGAGCAAACCAAATCCAAGTGTTCTTATTTTTTTGAGTCCTAGATGTAAACCTTGGTTTTGAAATGTATATTTTTAATACTAAAAAGATACTAGAGGATAAACCAAGAAGCATGCTTTAATGGTTCAGTTAGGACTAATTTGCATGTTTTCTTGGCTAATGCATATATATATATAACCTTCCCAGTGTTTTCCTGAAATGTTTAATAGGTGCTATAAGTTGGATATTTCCTTCTTCTCTAAGAGGAAATTATTACTACTCTGTAGTAAAAGGAGAATGTTGCATTTAGGAAGAGTGCAATGTAATGTTTATTATGTACTTTCAAATTTCTGCATATATTATTGCATAGAGTTAACACTAAGGAATCTAATGATGATGAACTGTGTAAGTTTTAGGGTGAGATGGGGGTGGGGCATCAGACTTATGCCATATTACGTTTAGAAAATGAATTGGTTTTAAAACCAGCTTCATATGAGCCGTAGAGGACTGTTACAGTATTCCAGGGGTAAAAAATTACAGTCCCATTTAATATGTTGAAATATGCCAATGGATTATTTTAAGATATATTTCTTGACTGTGAAACTACATTTCTTACCCTGGGTACCCCTATAAACAGCTTTAAATAAACTTATGTTTGTGTTTGAGTTTAATATGACATGAGATGGCAATATTTTATCAGTTTATTTAAATCCTTTCTTTTTAACAGTAAGGGAGGTATTCCCCTGTATTGTTGAAAGTTTGTTGCTAGTGAGGAAAGCTCTTAATGGCATATAAAATGCAGGTTGAAAATGTCCATCCAAGTCATTACACATATTATACCCTGAATATAGTAAACGTTGACTATTACTTTTTGCTAACAAAGACTGTGGAGACAATTGCGATGGCTGTGGTCAACGTTCTATAAGACAAGCAAATTACAAACTATAATTATGGGTGAAAATGTCATACTGATATAAAATAACAAACAAACTCAGAGAGCACCAAGGACCCACATTTCAACCCTGAGCTACTAATATTCTCCTTTATTAATAAAATGAAAGACTACATCATAAATATTTTACTGCCAGATTAGTATAATATTCATTTTCATTCAACCATTCTATTTTCTACCAGGCGAACATACCAAAAATAAAAGTTCGAGTCTCCTATTTATAGTGGTAACTACACTGTCCACTGACCAACTTATCTATTCAAGATGCATTGTCAAGTTTTTCTTAACAGGTGTAAAAATCCTTGTAGGAAGAGATGTGTCTAAAGAACTGGGAGGAGGGGGGCGGGATTAAGAAGCCACAGGAAAACAACCTTTGCTAGAAAGAAATATCCAATCTTGAAAAAAAAATAAAAGTTTGGCTGCATCACAGCCTTTTATTTTGCAGATAAATAGTTTATTCCTTGAAGCCAACTCCCTGCCCAGAGTTTATGGATTCCCTAGCAACTATTTCTGCACCTTTAGGGATACTGATTTTATAAGTATATAAAGTTTATAATTAAAAGATAGAATATGTCCCCAAGCAGAAGAAAATCACACTGTATATTACAAATGCCCCGAAATCCAAGTACTGTAAATGAATTTGGCATTACTGTAGAGATTATCAGAGTTAAAGCTAAATGGAAGAATTGATGGTATGTTACTGCCTACCTAAACAGGAGACAGGTGTTTTCCAAAAACAAATGATATACATCTTTCAAATTGCAAGTTGAAGTAGTAAAGATGGGGACTTTTAATTATGTGCACTTTACTCAGTATCTGAGTTTAGGTTAGTGAAATATGCCAAGAACAAAAACGTCTTCTTCAGGGAATACAAGGGAAAGCAAATATATCAGCTGTTCAGTGGAAATGATCAAAGGGAAGCTACCTAAGTTCAGTCTTTTCCATTAAGCAAATTTGTTTTTCACCAGGCAATTGTGAAGGGCAGAATGAATGAATGAACGAACAGAATTGAAGTTTTGAAACTGATAAAAATATTAGCAGGGAATATATTGTGAACTAACAAAGCTCTAGGACCAGATAAATTAGATCTCTTGGTACTGAAGGAGTTTGCTGATGTTACATATTATCTTTGGAAACACCTGCAGAATAGGAGTTTCAGACAACTGGAGGCGGCTAGTTTTTATGCCTAGCTTTAAAAACTGATGTATGGGGGAGGGGAGGAAGATGCAGATTACTAAAAATCAATCTGACATTAACACCTTGGGAGATTCTATAACAGATTCTAAAAAGACCAATTTGAAGATATCCTGAAAACTTGTAATTTATAACCAACATGATTTTGTCATTAGCAATTGTTTTCAGACTGAATTTGTCCCATTATTTTTTGACTGGGTAAGTTTCTTCAGGTGTTATCAGCGTACTGTAGACGTAATGAGTTTTTGTCTCATTAAACCTTTCGACGAAGTGCCCCATGAGATGTTGATTAGCAAATTACTGTGAGATGGATAACATAACAATTGGGTGAATACGTGTGGAGAGTGCTCTGAGAATTGATCAATATTTCCTCATCAAACCAGAATGGAATTTCAAGAGGGATGTCACAAATTTCAGGTTATAATCCTGTGTTTTCAACACTTTTACAAATGTCTTACAAGGAGAAATTTAAAGAATGTTCATTAAATTTGGAAATGATACAAATCTTAAGAAGTAGATTTCAACACGATCTTGATCATTTAGCTGAAAATAACAACCAAGCAGAAATGAAAGAAATAGAAATAAAATGTATACTGGATTGGAGAAATTGTAATAGGAAGTGATTACAGGGGAAAAAACCAGGCAGAATACGTAACATTCTTCAAACACTTGAAAAAACTTGTTTACAATAAACCAAGAATATTGTTGCAGAATGGAGATGAATTTTTAAAAAAATCAAATTACAGGAAGGCAAATTCCAATGGAATGTTAAAAAGAACTTTCTAAATATGAGGCCAATCTGAACTAGAAACAATTTCCAAGATGATAGCCATCTGTCAGTGATGCTTCAATTTGGATTCCAGTCTTCAATAAGGAGGTTGGGCTTGGTGGCCTGCACAGCACCTTCCAACCCTACAAACCCTTCTAAGAGATTTGGAACTTTTATAATCACTAAGAAAATATACCTTTGCTACTAATGGAAAGCTGCTGCAAGTAGGGAGACCAGTCTTTAAAAAATTATATAGTAGTAATGAGTCATCATTTAACTTTTTAAAATACATAATTCCCATTAAAATTGCTCAAAGAAAGTATGAAGTGCAATATATATAGACTATGCCAAACATGTTTCAAAATGTCTTTTGGTAATACTGAAATACATCAAACACAGCATTCAGCTTTCTTGAGAACCCTCATTTTAGTTCCAAAATAGACCCAAACTCGCCAAACTAAGAATTTTGTGACCCATTTTAAAAAATTAAATCCCAACTTGCATTAAATCATGTTCAGAGTCTATTTGCTGCTATCAATGCTCTCCACACTTTCAAGATTGTTTTCATTTTACTGTAAATATCCCATTGTGCTTTCATCCTTTGGGTCCTGGAACAATTGTAGCGATCTGAACAGAACTAACAGTGGGTTAAATGCAACATTTATTTACTTACTGCTTCTATCTTCCATACAGAATCTCAATTTGAGATTATATCCAAAAGGAAGTAACTTTTAATTGGTATTTAAGGTTGAATTGACATGGATCTTTGTATGGAATTAAATAGATTGTGAGGTGCATTTTTGTAAAACCTATCACTTATGGAATGTTTTTTTATACTCCATTTGATAGCATTTGCTATTGGTCCAAAATTACTAATTTAGCTTTCATAAAAGAAAGGAGAAAATACAACATTGTTGCAGTCTTATTTTGATGTATGTTATGTTTTATACTTCGTTGTACATTCTTATTTTGTGAATTGCAGAATCCTACAACTACAGGAGGATATAAGCCTGGTAAATAAATATCAACTTCACAGCAAGTAATCTTGCACAATCCTTGATAATCAGAGTTAATAGTTACTCATCTATTTTTAAGAATCAGGTCAAGTGTAAAAATGAGTTGTTCTTAACCTCCATGCTGATTTCTGTTCTGAGTATATTCATTAAGTTAAGAAATGAAAAGTCAAAAGAAGAGTCTTTAGGGAGAGAATGTTGCCTGTCATTTCATATGAAAAGAGACCTTTCAAGAAAAGGCATTCTCCTAAGAGCTTGTATGAGCTATTCTAGATAACTTATGACCTATTTTTCAAGAAAAAGTCTACTTTTTCCATAGTAAAAAAAGACAAGAGGCCAACATGTATAGAACAAAATGCTTGTCTTGGCATTTTAATTAACGATTAAAGCAAATTTCCTCTTTCCTACAGACAACTTTACAGTAAAAATATGTAAAACCAGTTATTAAATATACAACAGTTGAAAATTACATATTTCAAGTGTGTAATCAATTTCATTTTATGAAATAATACATATTCAAATCCTGGAGTAGGTGGTAAAGTTTTACAGCCTCTTGTACCATCAGCCAGCATCCTGCCACCATCATAGTATAATGAGGGAAATTGAATAGCAATCTCTGAATTATTCACTGAAAGACAAATGCAGAAAATTAGCAAGCATTCTCTCATTTAAATGGTAATCTCTAAAAATCATCTTTCAAATGTGTCATAATTGAAAGTTTCAATATATACACTGTTCAGCAAACAATAAAGATCTGTACTTGCATAGGTTTTATGCCTGACTGTACATTTTCATGTTCTATGAAGA